TTGCCAGAGATTTTGGATGATATTCCTCTTATTCGGCTAAATAATATTTATTTTCAGCAGGACGGAGCTCCCGCTCATAATGCGCAGTTAGTGAGTCGCTACCTAACTGCAGAATTTCCTGGTAGGTGGATAGGCACACATGGTCCAACGCGATGGCCAGCAAGATCACCTGATTTATCTATTTTGGACTTCTTTTTATGGGGATATATCAAGAATCGGGTATATAGTACCCAGAATCGAACAAAATTGGAATTGAAAATTGCTGTAACTGATGCTTTTTCACATTTACAGCAACATCCCATAACTATTCTAAATGCAATTAAACGCATTACTAAACTTTGTGAACAATGTGTGCATCAAAATGGTAACAACTTTGAACAATTCTTGTAACTTGAAGCCATATTTGCATAATGTTTAGTTTTTAATAATTTTTCGTTTTTAGCAAACAAAATTTAATAGATACATTTTTTTAATAAGTCAATAATTAATATTATAGTATTTTCAAAATTCTTTGTTTATTCTGGTATCCTAGCAACGCGATCACTTAATTTATCATAGCCTACTTATAAAATAATGTGGTTTTTTTAATTTCGAGGTTAATTATAAAGGTAAGTATAGAGTATTATATATCATTGAAAAGCTTGAAAAAATTCTAGTTCAATAAAAAAATAAAATATAGGTGGTTCCATTTAAAAAAACCTAAGTTGTGTTTATAACTCAAAAACCGTGATGTCTAGAAAAATTCTACGTGCATCATTGGATTCTACGTGAAAAAATCTATTAGAACCCGTTTTTACTTTTTTACTAAGTTTCCGGATAGCCGAGATACAGGAGGTGTCTGAAAATTGTAAATTTCAAACACTCCCTCTATATCAAAAACGAAGAGGGCTATGAAAATTTGGTTTGCGCCATTGTAAGTTTCACAAAAAAGTTGCTCAAGTTCGCGAAAGCCGCAACTTTCTATCTTTCATAATAACTGAGATACCCTGCAAACCCATCGAAATATGGACACCCTGTACAGGGTCTGTCACGACGAGCTGAGTCTTATATGTATATGGCAAACTACTGGCACTATTTTTGTAAAAATTTGCATACGGGTTTACCCGAAGTGCTCGTTTCAGCTAAAATATTTTCAGATTTCTCCAACTTGCGGTTATACCGGAAATGGACCCCAACTTCGTTATTTTAACAATTTTTATTGAATTTTCGAGATCCCCGCCAAATTTTAATACAATTTGATAAAGTCATCATATGTCTAGAGTGCACCATTTTTCAATTATTTCAGTCATTTCGAAAATTTGGGCAGATACAACCCTTCACAATAAAAATAATTTTTCGAAATTACACTCGAGTCCGGCCAAATATTCCCAAAGTTTGCACAGAGACGACCCATAGCTTACATAATACTTGAAAAGCAACCCCCAAATTAGGGTTGCCATTTAAAAAAATGAAGTTTTCGACTTTTCGAGATAGGGAAATTCGGGGAAAATTTCTGACCAATCTGTATAATTTTTTAAAAAACTTTTCAAGGGTTATGTAAACTATGGGTCCTCTCTGTGCAAACCCTGAGAATATTTGGCCGGACTCGAGTGTAATTTCGAAAAATTACTTTTATTGTGAAGGGTTGCATCTGCCATAATTTTCGAAAAAACTGAAATAATCCATAAATGGTGCACTCTAGACATATGATGACTTATATCAAATTATATTAAAATTTAGTGGGGATCTCGAAAATTCAATAAAAATTGGTACATTCCATTTAAAATAACGAAGTTGGGGTCCATTTCCGGTATAACCGGAAGTTGGAGAACACTGAAAATATTTTAGCTGAAACGAGCACCTCGGATAAACGCTATATGCAAATTTTCAGAGAAATAGTGCCAGTAGTTTGCCACATAGATATAGACTCAGCTCGTCGTGACAGACCCGCTTGATGGTAAAGATACCCATAAGCAGAGCCGCGATGTTTCGGGCTGTTGATGTCACCATCTGTATAGAGCAGCGAACGGGTTATAGCGTAGTAGTAGCATGCTTCTATCAAAATCATCGATGTGCCGCAACGTAACGATACTGGTTGAATGCGGGCTCATGTAAGATTTGGGGGGGTACTTCGCGGTGCAGCCTTCAATACGTGTTTGGCCGATTGTCCGATTAAAACTGAGCCAGTGGCGTGGTATACTATATGTGGCGTAATGTGGCCCATGTAGCCCGAGTCTCTACCGTAAAGAGACGAGCCGCCAATGAGTTGCCCGACAACGTCGCGGCTCTGCCCATAAGAGATACAAACAGACCGGCTGCACAATTGGAAATGAGTTATGCTCTCTTATGCGCAAGCGCTAAAGAACGTGACAAACCGTACATCGTCGAAACCAGGTACGCATTTGACTTGTCGCGGACGCGTACATGAACGCGTCCGACGGTCGTTGGAACTCATGACAACTTGTCGCCGACCAGTCCGCGGCTCGTCCACGGGTCGGATGGAACAGCACTTTTCAACTGCGCAGGCTGGTGACTGTCAATTGGCAGTCAAAAGTGCGGTTGGAACGAACCTATTGATATTACGCTTCATATATATTTTTAAGAACTGATTCATCTCAATTTAATTGAAGTATTGCACGCAAAAATGTATGGAACAGAAAAAAAACACGAATCATAACTTAACCTATAAGTTCAAAGCGCTGTCAAAACAAGGTAAAACAAACTTTATAAACAAAAAATATCCCACAATAACCAATAAATTTCCACCAACTCAAACTAATCAGATCTTTTAACATTTCCTCTAAACCAAAAACTCCTTTTATAAAGAACCACAAAACGAACAAAACCTATTTAATTAATAATTCACAAATAAACACATTTATAATCATTTAATTACTTTTCAATTTTCCTAAAGTCAAATGAAGTTAGTTACAGTAGCCATATTTCGTATCGGCGATAAATCGTTAAATTAAACCGTAAAACCCAACCGATTCCCAAAAATTTCCCACCCAATCCCCTTTACACCGTTCCCAATTTACCCTACGTACGAATTTGTCCCCTTTTAAACCCTTAAACTTACCTATTTGATCACGTTTTTTATTATGTTCGCGGCAAAGTTCACGTCGGTTGAGTGTCCCCGAGAATGGTGGTCGTCCGTATTTTGGATGAACCCTTCCGAAGTACTGCTAAAAAGGACGTACTACGTGGTAAAAATCGTTTTGTATGCGAAATATCGGTTTAAAAGTGACGGCCCCACCGTGTTTTTAACGCGGACACTGTATCTGGATAATAAAATACAACAAAACGGTCGGAAACGATATGTGACATAACCTATAAATGACAAAATTCTCGAAGGGTGCTGCTGTGTACATGTTGTGCGAACCTCCAAACCTTACTTAAATGGCTGATAATGGTCTTGGCGGGTCAAATCAACAGACCGGCACGTTATTATTACAATCTACGAATTTGGAATGTAAAAATTTATACGATTATCTGAAAACTAGACCTTCTAATTTACTTGATAGACTGTACAATCATCCTGCGATATGTTTAGCTGTTTATAGGTAAGTAAATTTATTTATAACATGTAATTTTTTTAGAGAAAAGTTAATTTATAAAAGAAAATATAATATGTGGTGTAGGCATCCAAAATTACATCACAATGTCGATAAAGTAGTGAAATGAGAAATTAATTCATATTTTTTCATATATAGGGAATTGCCAGAAATAGCAAGACAATATGTTGTAAGAATACTATTTGTAGAACAACCTGTTCCTCAAGCTGTTATTGCTTCTTGGTGTCATCAAGCATTTTCAAAGTAAGAAATTTTTTTACATTTTTTAATATAATTTTATCATTTCATTTTTTTATAGAGAACATGCTAATGTTTGTAAGATATTAAGTGATTTATCTGTTTGGAATGATGCGCCAATACCTGGTGGACTAAGTGGTTGGATATTAAACACAACTTTTAAACGGAACTTAAAAATTGCATTACTTGGAGGGTAAATATCACATTTTTGTGGGTATTTTTTCTAAATAGAAATGTGTTTTTAGTGGTAAACCATGGAGTATGTCATCGGCTTTAGAAGCAGACAGCAAAGCTCGCGATGTAGCATTTCTAGATACTTACTCGGCGGAACGTTGGGAATGCGTTTTGCATTATATGGTGGGTTCTCACCAACAAGAAGGGATATCAGCGGATACAGTGCGAATTTTAATACACGCTGGGTTGATGAAACGTGACGAGGACGATGGAAGCCCTGTGATAACTCGACAGGGTTTCCAGTTTTTACTTCTCGATCGCCAAGCGCAAGTTTGGCATTTTCTTTTACAATACTTAGACACAGTAGAACAGCGAGGACTCGATCTTGCGGAGTGTCTTACGTTCCTGTTTCAACTCAGTTTCAGTACTTTAGGAAAAGTATGTAAAAAAAATGTAGCTATTATTTTTAAATTTTTTTTAATTTTAGGATTATAGTACAGAAGGAATGAGTCAAGGGTTATTAATATTCTTGCAGCATTTAAGAGAATTTGGATTAGTATACCAAAGAAAAGTAAGATTATTATTTTTTTTTTTTAATTTTATTTATTTATTTATTTTTTTTAATATTTTAGAGAAAAGCTGGACGTTTTTATCCAACAAGACTGGCACTAAACATAACTTGTTCACAAACGAAAGCCCCAATGGCGATTGAAGAAGATGCCCCAAAGGGGTATATCATCGTGGAAACAAACTACAGGGTGTACGCATATACAGATTCTAATTTACAGGTGGCCCTCTTGGGTTTGTTCACCGAACTATTGTACAGGTAAAATGGTGCTTAGTCAATTATTATTTT